ATTGAGTGTATTACTCCTTGTATTAGTTCTAGTAATGCTATATTTGCAAAAGAAAGTACAACAAAAAAAAAAAAAACTGAAAAGAGAAAACTGCTAAAACCAGCTTTATTTTATTGTTCAAATTCAGTTTTATGCTCGTTTTGGTCAAAGCTTAAAAGAGCCACTGCAGAGGAACCAAAGAGCCACATGTGGGGCGGCTGTGGCTGAGTGGTTAGAGCGGTCGTCCTCCAAAGCGAGAGTTGGGGGTTCGAATCCACCAGCAGTCACATGTCGAAGTGTCCCTGGGCAAGACACTGAACCCCTCATTGCCTCTGATGTGTGTCCATCAGTGTATGAATGTGATAAAGCTCTGATTAGTCTCTTTAGAATGATTTGCTCAATTAGCTTTGTAGAGAAGCTTTGTAGAGATCTAGTATAGAGCTGTATGAATGGGTAAATGAGACACAGATTGTTGTGGAAAGCACTTTGAGTATCTCAATAAAATAGAAAGGTGCTATATAAGTATAGTCCATTTACCATTTATGTGACTCCAGAGATGAGCGATGACTGTCAATAATGGTGATGTAAGTGCAGAGCGTGTGAGAGCATGGTTAAATAAATGTCTCTTTCAAATCTGGATGAAGGCACGAGTGGATTAACGGCGCGGCATAGTGATTCAATATCTTCGGCATTCAGTGGGCATTCCATTTCTGCCACAATGACACCTGTGTTGGCATGATGGGATGGCCCTGACCTCTCCCAATGAATAGCCTCAATTTGTAATCCTGCCACATTTTCCTCAGACATCTCTGGCTCTCTGATGGGCTGTTGCAGCATCCCTGGTCCCCACAGCTGGTTTGGAGAATGGCTACACTTTGTCCTGATGGGACGGAGATTCCATCCTGCAGAAAACTTGGCCAAATCAGCCTTGCACCTTGGGAGGAAGAGGTACTGTCCAAACATCCCTCCATAGGTGCTCAATTCTCTGGCTGTGCAGGTTTTTTCCACTGATAAATCTTCTGCAATCTGTGCCCCCTATATGATGGATTTTAATGAGCAAGTCCTTCTTCCTCTTCCTCTTTCAGCTTTTCCCTCTTCAGGGGTCGTAACAGCGAGGCATCTTCCTCCATCTCACTCTGTTCTCTGCATCCTCTGTTCTCACTCGAACAACCTTAACATCCTCTCTAACTGCATCAATATACTGTATCTCCTCTCTGCGTCTCCAAACCATCTCAGTGTGTCCTCTCTAACTTTATCTCCCAGTTGTTCAACCTGTGCTGTACCTCTGATCATCTCATTCCTAATATTATCCATCCTTGTCACTCCTAAGGAGAACCTCAACATTTTCATTTCTGCCACTTTCAGTTCTTTCTCCTGTCTTTTTGTCCATGTCTCTGTAGTGAACTAGGCCTGATGTCAAAACCTTGACCTTAGGCACCTTATGGGACAGAAACTGTCATTTCATTGATTTGAATCCAGAAATACAGATTGACCCATCCTGAGACTTTCTTTAATCAAGTGAAAGAACACTCTCTTTTCTATTATCATTACTATTTTACAAATATTTGATAATCAAAGTGTTTTTAGTTCAAACCATTTTAGATGCTGCAGTGAACTAATCATTTTTAATTAACTGTGAAACAGTAATAATGATTTTTAATCCTCATGCAAAGTTAGAATTCATGTTAAGGTCTGTTACAGAGTAATTATGCATTTTCTGATTTTCTGTCTTTGAATGA